TAATTAGATGATCACTATAGGAAAACTCGACACTAAATACCTCATAAAATATTGTCTAACAAGAGGATGATGATTTATAATTAAGCTCGATTAAAAGAAAATTAATAATTAGTACTTTGAATGTGATGATAGCCAGAAATGATCAAATATAGCTTAATAAAAATTATATATAAAGAGAAAACAAAGATTGCCATATTCATAGAAGCTTTAATAATATTATAATTAAAAGAGTAGTATGATTATTAAAAATGTTATTGATAGAAGTTTTAAATGATACACAAAACACTTACCTTAAAATATCAATAAAATCTTTAAAACTGTTTTTCAGAGAAAAGTAAAAATAAAGAATAGTGAACTAAAATGGAATTGAATAGAAACAACTTAGGACTAATGAAGGAATTGAATGATAATTTATATATAATGATACAAAAGATAATGATTGATAAAGATGATAAAACAGATGACGATGACGATGAGAGAAAAAACGTTAAACAACTAAATTTTTATGAGTGAAAAATAATTAGATAAAATAGATCAAATTTATTTTATATTAATGATGTATATAAATATTCATTTTTTATTTTTTAATTCAGTAATTAAATTTTTAAATTGCTCCTAATTTGATTAGCAATTTTATATTGCCTGTTCATAATTCTTTAGAGCTGATTAGCATTTCTTGACTTTTTTTAATGCATTACCTAATAAAATCAAGACATTTCAAACCTTTATTAATATAGGCAGCTGCATCATTTGGATCTAGTTCGATTACTTTATCAAAGCAAATAATTGCATCGTTATATTAGTTCAGATTATTTAAGACATTACCTAATACAATCAAGATATTTCAAACCTTTATTAATATAGGCAGCTACATCATTTGGATCTAGTTCGATTACTTTATCAAAGCAAATAATTGCATCGTTATATTATTTAAGATTATTTAAGGCAATACCTAACACAATCAAGACATTTCAAACCTTTATTATAATAAGCATTTGCATAATTTGAATCTAGTTGGATTGCTTTGTCATAGCAAACATTTGCATCGTTATATTTGTTAATATTATTTAAGGAATTACCTAATACAATCAAGACATTTCAAACCTTTATTAATATAGGCAGCTGCATAATTTGGATCTAGTTGGATTGCTTTCTCATAGCAAATAATTGCATCGTTAAATTTGTTAAGATTATTTAAGGCATTACCTAATACAATCAAGATATTTCAAACCTTTATTATTATAGGCGACTGCAAAATTTGGGTCTAGTAGGATTGCTTTATCTTAGCAAACAATTGCATCATTATACTTTTTAAGACAATGTAAAGAGTGTCCTAAAATTGAAAACAAATAATAATACCTTTAGAAATTTACCCAATAATATACCTTGGATTATATTGTAAAGCTTCACCAATACACAAAATAGCTTAAGAATGCTGTTTCAAATCATCTAAAGAAAAGCCTATTTTGTTATATAAATGATTACTTTTTCTATACAAAGCATGAAGATGTTAAGGATCCTCTCTTAAAACTATTTCGCACAACTCAATAGCCTATTGAAATTATTTTTCTTCATTTAATGCATAACCTAAGTAAATTAAATATTTCAATTACTTTTTGCAATTAAAATAAAAGCATTTTATGGGGTTTTCCGTAATTCTTGATCTGAATAATCTAATAAATCTCTAAACAAGTTATTATTAGTTTTTTTCGCCTAATCCCTCATAATTATTCCTTATCCTGGTTAGTTCATCTCAATTAAACAAATACCTAATTATGTAAAATAGAATCAAATTACTTTTAAACAATGTCGCCAAAGATTAGTATTTTTCTGATAATTTTATAGATTAATTAATTTTTTCATTAGCCTCCTGCCATTTCTATTAATTAAGTAATTATATTCCTAATTTATTATAAACCACTAGAATACCTTAGTAAAGTGCATTTTCAATATCTTGTTTAATATCTAAGGTAGATTATTATCCTTAAGTTAAATCCAATGCCTAAATCATTTTTTATATTCCAACTAATTAAGTTCCTTTAATATTACTTATATAAAATTTACCAATTTAGTTTTACTTCAAAATCTCCTCTTAATTGTTTAAATATTGATACCATTCTTTTATCACTTATAAATTGTCTCTCATATATTAATAATCTTATAGACTTAAACATTCAGATATCATAACTAATTATGTTTTCATATTCTCCAAATATTTTGAGGATTCTTCATATTTTATTTTGACTTGTGTAAATGATTTATTTAATTGTGTTGCTAAATCGAGTATTTTCTAATCGAATTTTGTGATATAACTTAGATTTAACCAAATCCTATTAGATCTTTCTTGCAATTAGAATGCTTCTTAGGATCAAATCCACATTATCGACAGAATTGAGGTCTTGAAACTTAACATCCCAAATTTAAACAATATCCTTATATTGGTTCTCCTTCATGCATAATATCTTAACACGTAAACACTTTCATGATATTAATTTTATTTATAATTAAATTATTAAAATATTCTAAGCGAAAATTTTTTATTTATATTGATATTTTTAGGTATTCTATTAATTTACTCTTTAGGGTCTTAAGTTACACCTTATCCCTTAAAGAAAATCAGAATTTGAGAATGTACATATCGATCATTCAATATTAGCATCTAATTGCGTTTTGCTTAGATTAACCATAAATGATAATTCATACCTACATGTATATAAAATCTAATTTCTTACTCTTGCCTTCTAATAATTCCAGATTATCATCACATCATCAGTCCAGCTAATTTTGATTATATTAAAAAGGCAATCTTTGATCTCTTTCCTTTTTTTTTTTAGTAGGCTAAATATTTTCTTAAATTTCAATTCTACTTTGATTTACTAAAATCACATATCGAAACTTGATTGCTCAAATAAAAATGTGTAAATTTCTTAAATTACAATTTTATCATTCTTTTAGATGTATTCTTTTACAACTTTTAACACCTATATTAAAGCTGATATTTAAAGTTAATGCTCAAACATTAATTTTTAAGTGATATCAAAAAGATCTAAAATATAACCTGCTTCTTAAATTGGATGGTCTTAATAATTGGTTAATATTAATCAGCCGGAAATTGTTCTCATACCTTCAACAACAGGAAATTTTGTGAATTCATCATAATATGTGAAAATACTTACAGATTTTGAATATAAAGAATTTAAATATTGATAGGCTGTGTACATGTTGTAGTTCAAAACCAATAGTAGTAGTACCAATAACCATGTTAGCATTTCTTCCAGATGATTACTTAGAACCAATCATGTAGCCTGAAAATTGATAACCATAAGCCTTTTAGCCTTTGATTATAAAATCGAATAACATCTCTCCTGCCGATAACTACAACAATTTGAAAAATATGGCTAATCCTATGAATAGATGATTTATTTAGATAAATATCTATTTAATTAATTTTGTAAATTCTAATATCTATGAATAAAAAAAGTAAGATAAGCAGAACTTTTATGAAATGAAATTCTAAAAATATTAAAAAAGTTTCAATGAGCTTAAATAATATACATGGTTTTTACAATTAAGGAATTATGGTAAAATATTAAAAATAAGGTGACTAAGTTAATAATATATTGAATGAACTTATTTTAAGTTAAACAGATAAGAAGTTTAAAAATTAATTAAGAATTAAATTGATTTAGAAAAAGTAGCAATGATATAGTTAATTAAGTATAAAGATGGTCAGCTATTCAAATTGCAAATTTCAAAGTAAAAACTAAAGAACCAATTATATATTCTAAATTAAACAAATTAAAATATAAACAATCTCTTATGAGGAGACAGTTGAAGAAGACATAATTTACTCTTACCTAAATCTAATTTTGGTATTAAAAATTAACCGAAAAAATTACTGAAATTAATCTAAATACTTAATCGAAAGACTCTTCTAAATATCTTAGAAAATATGATTTTTGGCCCTAATTTAAGAATATTATTGATAACTCTTTAAGACTAAGTTTCAATTAACAATTTTCAAAATAAATTATAACAAAAGTCATTCTCAGAAAAATAGTGGATTTTCATTAAAAAATTTGTAACAATTTTAACTAATATATATAAGTGGACTAATTGAATTATACTTCATATCCACAGCTAGTTTTTAATCTTATATAATTTGATATAATTAAGATTTCTCAAATTGAATAAGTTTTCTTCTAGTGAAACTTGATACAATTGTACTTCGTTATATTGTTATTTTAAATATGTAACAGTTAACTTTTCAATAGATTCAAATTACCTAAGATTTAATTATTAGATAATTGAATTTTTCTAAGTAATTTTCTTAGGCTAAAGATTAAGAAGGATCAAAAATTTGTTTTGATAATGATTCATGAAAAAAATACAAATAAACTCAAATAAAATTTGGAAAATTTACATATTTCAGAGATATTTATTAATATGGAACAGGTAAAGTATCGAAAAGGCAAATTAAATTAGGAACCAGAAGAAAAATGGTATATGGATTAATAAATGAAATGGAGAAGCACTTGGAAATTTAGGTGGGTACTTTTAAGATGGGGAAAAGCAAGGTTAATGGAATGAGCTAATTAAGAATTTTCGAAGGTATAAATTTTGAAGACAAATTACAATAGTCAAGCTCAAGTATTGGAATGGGAAGAATACATGGATATTTAAAAATTGGTATATGGGATATCTCTATCATGAAATAAAGATGTAATTTATTGAAATTCAAAATTAGTGGATATTAGGGAATATAAAATTGATAAGAAGGTTGGCAAATGGGATATTTTTGTTGAGGGAATAGAGATATAATAATATAGAGTAAAAGAATGTTTAGTGATGGTGGATTGTATGACGAAAAAGGTGATGGGAAAAAGATTGGAACATGGATTGAGTCAAGCGAAGAACATAGAGAAACAACAAAGGTTGTCTAAATGAAGTTTATAAATTCGGTAATAAAGCAAGAGTGGAATATATATTTAATGCCTAGTAGATATAAAATTATATAATAAACTTATATTTTAGAGATGGTGGATCTTATCATGAAAAGTAGATTGAATGAGTGAAGAATTGCAACTTTTACTTAAATCAATTGTATTGGGAATTATGAATATGGAAAAAAAATGGGTAGATGGGATTTTGTAAAAAAGAGATTTAGTAGTACATATGAAGATTGGGGGGGATGGATTGAGTTGAGTAATACATTAGGTAATGGAATAGAATAATCAAGATTTCTTATGTTGGCGAGGATAAGGGAAAAATGTTGTAAGATGGGTTATTAAAAAATAAGGGAAAAGATATGTAAATAAGGTAATTAGTAAATATAAAGTGGAGATGGTTCATATATGAGGAAGGTTATGAGGTTAAGATAGGGAGATGGGCTGAGTTATGGAAGTTATTTAATAGGTATTAATAAGTCATTTGGGATGGAGAATATTAAAAAGGGTAAAAAAGGTGATTGATGGGATCTTATAAATTTTAGCAGATGTAAAATAGAATTATTAACACTATTATATTATGATTCCAATTGGGTTTGAGGGAATAATTAAAGAGATAAAATAGAGTAGATTCTCTTTATTCAATTAGAAATTTTTTAGAAAGAAAATATCATCATCTTAAATTATAGTATGAATTGTAGCCACTTTAACATTTGATCAAATTTCAACAAAGGAATTAAGGCTAAGAATTTGACAGATTATTATCAATTATATATGGAACTTTATGGATAATATGAAGCAGCCCTAAATTCTGATACTTAATACTTGAAAAGCTATATTACATTGAAAAACCAGGAATAGGAGCACAAACGAACTTTATTATATGCTTGTTGCAGATCTGGATACTAAGATTGTGTATTCTATTTACTCTAGCTTGGTTGTGACTTACAATAATAACAGAACACGAATAGCAAACCATTACAAGTGGCCAGCTACTACCTTTGTGAAAAAACTTGATTACGTTATTAACAAGTGATAGTGCTAATGACAAGGCCAAAAAAATATTTATGGACATCGTCCTTCAGATGAAGCTAGAAAAGATTCCATAAAATAATAGATCACAAGCAGTTCAGATCATAAAATAATAAATTTTTTTTAAGACTTAAAAATTAAGGCTTGTCGATGGTATTTAAAAATCTTGGGATGACAACATGATTTGGATGTAGAGATGTTGATGTTACAAAATTATTTAAGAATAAAGGATAAAAATCTCATTTATATCATTGAACTAGATTTGATTATTTAAAACCTATTCTAGATGTAGGATTGTAACCATCCGGCACATAAGCATAACATAGAAAAGTAGTTATGCCTGCTGGTAATATTTAATCAAATGCAACAGTGGGTGGAATTAAAATTGGGGAAAACCTAGTTTCACAAGTCCCATTCTTTTTATACAGCTGATCTTGTCTTCTCTTCAAGGGTTATATGTTAAATCAATAGTACTGTTGTCTTGTGGAAGCTGTAATTAATTGGAGTATATTTTGAATACACATCGACGGTTGTAAAGAGGAATTTTTATGTTCCTTATAAGTCCAAGATATTTGAGGTATAAAATTGATTGCAGCTAAGTTAAACTATTAATTAAAGAAGAGAGGATGCATGTAAGTAATTGTGTTATCAGCATTATTTTTAAGAGAGTAAAATTTATAAGATTAAAAACAAATGTGATGAATGCATAGGTTTCCTTGATAATTCCATTGCATGTAAAAGTGAGATATATAAATTTTATTGTTATAAAAATAATCAATTTTATTAAGTTTTAGGACAGTAACATTGAGGAATAATACCAGACTATAATAAAAATCTAACCATTAGAAATAAAAAGATATTTTTTATTTTTTTTCTATATCTCCTTTTATAGTAAATGATAATCAATTATTATTTCATAAATAGATGGCAATTTAAAATCCTAAACGGTTTAATGAACAAAAAATTTTCAATTCAATTTCATCAACCATTTAATATTCGTAATTTCAAATATTTCAATCAAAATCATGAGGCAATCATTTAATTAATACTATTACCCTCTGAAAAGGCGTTGATTACATTAAAATTTCTCATGCAATAGAATCAACAGTCAAGATTTAGTCTACTTTTAATAAGAAATAATCTCTTTATATGAGTTTTAAATTTTTCATTCATTTATTGTTTAATTGAAGTTAAATGAATTCTATAAATTATAAAAGTTAAAGATTTATAATTATAGTTAAGGGTTAGAGATGGAGATGGACAAATAAATTCACTTTTATTGGATTTAGTTCATAAATACAATGCTGATGGTGTGATCTCGGATAAGCAACTCAAATGAATTATTATTTTCTGGAATTTTGAACTTTGATGAATTTTTTATCCTTGTTCATTATACAAATTTACTAGTGGCCATATTGAAATGGAACTAAAACAGTCATAAATCAATCAGCATGAGAGTCCTGTAAAGTTAAAAGAACTAAATTAGTTATTGACAAACAACTAATAAGGATAAATCAGATTTTAAAGAGTAGTAATTGTAAAAAATTATTTTACTAATCGATTTTATTGAAGAATTAACTCATCTATAAGAATAACTTTCTAAAACGGAAGCAATCTAAAATTCTCCTAACCTACTTTGGAGTTATCCAAGAAGCTGTACCATATTAAGATAACTATTTTAGTCCCAAAAACTTCTTTCAATATTTCAATTAAGAGTAATAAATAAAAAATTTGTTCTGCTGTTATTAGTAGTTCTTATTACTAAATAAAAATACGTAATTTATCGTATTGTATATTTACTCAGTATAATGAGGTGAATAAACTATGCCTAATTAAACTTAATTAATTTACCTTACTTTATTTATGTTTTAAATATATGATAATTACTTTTTAAAAATTTCTTTAATATTCAATTTATATCTCCTAATCTAATTTATGAATAGTCATAATTAAATCGATTATATCAAAGAATTATAGCAAAATTTCGAAAATTAATTTATTTGAAGTAGAACCTTATATTCAATTCATTATTATATTGAACCAAGGTTTAAAGTCAGAAATAATTAAATTAATTAGTATTTTAAAAAAAAGTCTATATTAGTTAAAACTAACAATAAGTTTATGTTTGGAGATTACTGTTCCTTAAATTTGTTCTTTTATCAAATTAACTTAGGATATAACAACTAGCCAATTCAATAAATCAAGATCTATTTTATTTTGTTTGTTTCGTGATAAATTTACTATTTATTTTTATCATCAATCACTAAAAATCTCTTTAATATTTTATATGCACTTTGCACTAAATTAAACAATTAACTAAACCTCTCAACTTTCTTAAATATTTCACCGAGTTTTTAAATTAAGAAAAGACACATACACTTTGAACCCTTCAATAAATTAATATAGTTGTTTATAATCAATAATAAGATAATAATGTGTTAGGAAATAATTTTACTTAATATATTATTTCTTATATTATATGAAAGTGTTATATATAATATTAGGGTACCTTATAAACTACTTAAATTCAAAGTGCCTTGAATTACAATAGCAACATTAAATAACTTGTTATTCTTTTGCATTCGGGTGCTGTATAATGGAAGGAGATCAAGAAGATTTTGAAGATCTCCAACAGATTAATACTCAAATTGTAACAAAGTCATTCTAAATTCCATGCGCTAACGAACCTATTTTAATAAGATTCATCGATTCTTTGAATCAAAATAAAATACAAGAAAAGTTGATGTGCTCCTTGTTTGTTAATCTTAAATATTATATCACTTGTATAGGTTTTGACTTAATTTTTTATGAGGAATAAAAAAATTATAGTGAATTAATTAGAATAGATACAAAAATATCAGCTAATGAAATATGCGATGAATTTTTTACAAATGAAGATGGCATTTTGAGTTTATTTTGTATTGGTTAGTCAACTTTAAAATATTATTCTTTGGATTTTCAAAGTAATGAAACTTTAATTTTGGAATATGATGTTTCAGAACAAATAGAGGATAAATGCAAAAAAAACTAACTAAAAAAAATCTAAGATTAATAAATTATTTTATTTTATCAATGTTCAAGATGGAAAGTTATTTTAATTACGAACAATCAAGTTATTACTTTAATTGATGCTTAAACGAAATATTAATAGGGTTATATAACAAGGCTCACTTTTATTGATGATGTAGTTGATTGTGAAATTAATTCTGATACTTATGCTATCTATCTGATAGAAAATAATTTTTATGTGCTAGTGTATTATGATTTATTTTAAAAGAAAATTCTAAATTAGATTATTGTGGAGAGGGAATATCGAATTTAAAAATTACTATTACATCAGAAATGTTCAATTCTAATGTTAGTCAATGAATTAGATAAAAATGACTCCTCAATAATAAGAGCTTAATATTATCAGTAAGTCCTAATGAACAAATTTTATTCAATAAATAATATTCATATTCATTCAGATCTAATTTTCCTATAAAATTAATTTGAATTAAATGTGTTAGTAAATGTTCGGATTAATTAGACATATCAAATTTGCAACACCTCATTGTAATTTTTTGATTTTGATAATTTATTCTGCTAATTTGATTGGAAGAAAAATGTGCTATAATTTTATAAATATGAACCATTAAGTACTTTTATAGAACCTAAATAACGGTATGTATATGTAATCGAGAAAACCAATTTATTTAAAAGAGATGATACTATCAAATGTTTTAAATTGTTACCCAAAAATAGCACTTAGACAGAAAAATAGGAATCCACTTAGCTGATTTAATTTGAGTATAATTGCTAAAATAAGATATAAATTTTATGGAATTCCAATAACTCTAATTACTTTAAAAATAATACTTATAACATATACAGTAGTTCAGGTAATCTTAAGGTAAGTATCAGGAACAATGAGGACTTTTAAGACATTTGTTTTGCAAGATTTAATAAATTGTATAACCAAGGTAGGTTTTAGTTAAAAAAAATCACAATAGGTCACATCAGTTTCAAAAATGGATCTTTTTTTTATATCTATGATTGTCGATAAAAAAGAGTTGTAATATCAGTAAACATAGATAAATATTATGTACTTGAATATGATATAGGCTATTATTTTGTGAATAAAAGTAATAATAATGATCTGGCAGGAGTTTAGTTTTCAGGTGAATTTCTTTCTCATTTCTAATTAAACATAAATGAAGAGATTACTAGTGTTAAGAAAATTTATTCAAGTTTATTTATTTACACAAAGGCTTCTAATTTACCTTTAATCATTTAAATTAAGTTTGAGCAACCTGTAAGATACTATTTATCAAAAGGTTTTTATTAACCTGAACCTATTCTATTTTATTTTGAGTCATATAACTTAAAATTAATTCAATATTAAAGCATTATAGCTTTTGAAAGTAAAGAATTTTTCAGATGCTTTCAATTTTAAGAATCATTAATCATTTCTATTTAAGCTTTACATATGTTAGAATGTTATTCTATAGTTTCAATACAAAATTAAACTAGATCATTGATTCTATATAATTTAATTCAGTAAGAATTACATTAAATATCAAATTACACTATTTAAAACTTTTCATTTTATTATCCTATTAAATACCAAATTAATAACCTTAAGTTAGCTATTTTAATTTAATAAAACAATTTGCTATATATAGCCATTTTTTCACATAGCATGTCCAAGTTATCATTAGATTAAATTATAGGTAAATTTACTTATTTATTCATTAAGCAACCGATGATTCCTTTTTTAAAATTGATATTGCTCTCCTACTTTTTTCCTTTGATAAAGTTTGGAGGTAATTCTTATTAAACCAATTTTTAATTGAATTAGAGCTCGAAAATTTCCATTTAAATGTTGCATCATAAACTGTTTCAATGATCAACAGAGAAGAAGGAGATATTGAATTAAAGATTGAAATTGAGAATCAATGTTCTTAGTTATCTTCTCTTATGAAATCTTCTATAATTTAAATTTAACAAAATAAAAATTTAAAATTAGATTTGTCAAAAATGTTTTATGGTCCAGTTGGTAATTTGAAAATTTTAAATAACTCAAATGTTGTTTTGAAGGGACCTTTTCAATTTATAAAATAACTTTAAGAATGTGACGATTAAACCTCAGCATTATGCATTAAACTATATCACTTTTAAACGAAAATAAAAGAAATACATTTTGAAGTAATAATATAAGAAAATATAATTGTTGGAGTAATACATAGATATTCTTTCAATACTCATTATGTAACTTGGATAAAATAGTAATATTTCCTTTGTGTTTCATAATTCATAAACTAATTAGTTATTGAATTAATTTAATGTTCTGAAAAATAGGGTTATAGTTGTAGAATGGTATCAAATCTTAATTTTGAAATAACAAGAGATTAGATTAATTTTGAAAATTCATTTAGGGCTGGTAATTTAATAAATCTGAAAGGCAATAATACTTAGGCTTTTATTATTATAGATGATATAAATTATAAAATAAAAATTTTACCTGCCATTATTATAGATATCATATAAATTGAGAAGTCTGATAATTAATACCTTATTCTATAGAAAGATTCAAATGATTTAGAATTAACTATATACACAACTAATTTACATTAGATATACTCATTAAAAATAAATGAAGAAATCTATGCGAAAATGATTAAATTTAAAAATTTTAATAAATCTAAATTTACAATGAAATTTGTTTCATGTAAGTATTCTGGAGATTTAATTAACATTAAACTGCTCACATTTGATAAAGATTTTTCATAATTGTTTTAGTTATAATTGAATTAATAAAAGAATTAAATCTTATTGGATTTATAAAACTATTTTAGAAATTAAATCTAAAAAATTCCTTTTGCTATGAGTGAAAATGATGTTATCTAATATGTAGATGATAGTCTTTTAGTTTTACAATAAACTTAGAATAATTTTTTAAAACTGTATCAAATTCAAGAAGATAGAAAATTAATTGATTATTTTTACAATTCAAATTTTTTTATCTAAATAACAAGATTAAATACTACTCATTTCATTTTCAGCAATGATTCTTTTGTTTAAATAGGATTAATTGGATATGAATTGGAATTATAAAATTATGATGAAGCTAGATAAAATTTTGAATTGTTGGCTTAAAATGAGGTATCAAATGTAAAAGTATCACTTTAAATACATATAATTAAAACAAACTTGTAGTTTACAAACAGTATTCTATTAATTTAGATAACTTGCTTTGTTTTTATACTCATTTACACTAGAAAAATGAAATCAAAATCTATGATTCAAAAACAAAATGGTCAATGATAATCTAACATTTATTTTATATAATTATTAGTTTTAATTAATACAAATGGCTGAATAATTTACAAATATTTCTTTAATTTTTGATAAATCCGTTTATAGATGAGTTTCTAGTAATTTCTATGAGTAAGAATCATTTAATTTTGATATGTCAAAAATATTATGAAAAACAATTTAGAAGACTTAAAATAAATACATTATAAAAATATTTGATTAAACTACTAAAATTAATAATTATGAATTTAATAATAATGCCTTAATCCTTTTTTTTGAAATTTTTCATTTCATAATATTTACGAAACCTCAATTATTTATAATTTAACCAGTCATATATAAAGTTAGAAAAAAAATTGATTTTTTTCTTTTTTATAAAGTAATTTAGCGAAAGCAAGGTTTGATTTGATTATTTAAGAATTTTTTAATAACAGTTTAGAAAGATTAAATTATAAACAAAATTATAGGATGACCTCAGTTTTTACTTGATCATATATTATATTATTAATATTTCCCATTGCAAACACTTAAAAGAGTTATCCTTTAAAACAATTATTAATTGTTATTAATTTTCCAATAATTTTTTTTGATTGCTTTCAGCAAAAGCATATAAGCATATTATACAATACAATGAACTATAATTAATTGATGCCTTCAAATCCTCATTTCTCTCAAATAGATTCAGCATCTTAAGTAACGAATAAAGCTTATTTCGGTCTAAAAATTTAAATTTCTAGTCATCCTATTGACTCTATTCATTCATATAAAAATGAAAAATCAAGTTACTTGATTTGGGATACCTGAAATTCTCTTAAACTAATGCTTGAATCTTAACATCGTTTTACCCTTATATTTCTTAGGATAAATTATTANGATGATAGTCTTTTAGTTTTACAATAAACTTAGAATAATTTTTTAAAACTGTATCAAATTCAAGAAGATAGAAAATTAATTGATTATTTTTACAATTCAAATTTTTTTATCTAAATAACAAGATTAAATACTACTCATTTCATTTTCAGCAATGATTCTTTTGTTTAAATAGGATTAATTGGATATGAATTGGAATTATAAAATTATGATGAAGCTAGATAAAATTTTGAATTGTTGGCTTAAAATGAGGTATCAAATGTAAAAGTATCACTTTAAATACATATAATTAAAACAAACTTGTAGTTTACAAACAGTATTCTATTAATTTAGATAACTTGCTTTGTTTTTATACTCATTTACACTAGAAAAATGAAATCAAAATCTATGATTCAAAAACAAAATGGTCAATGATAATCTAACATTTATTTTATATAATTATTAGTTTTAATTAATACAAATGGCTGAATAATTTACAAATATTTCTTTAATTTTTGATAAATCCGTTTATAGATGAGTTTCTAGTAATTTCTATGAGTAAGAATCATTTAATTTTGATATGTCAAAAATATTATGAAAAACAATTTAGAAGACTTAAAATAAATACATTATAAAAATATTTGATTAAACTACTAAAATTAATAATTATGAATTTAATAATAATGCCTTAATCCTTTTTTTTGAAATTTTTCATTTCATAATATTTACGAAACCTCAATTATTTATAATTTAACCAGTCATATATAAAGTTAGAAAAAAAATTGATTTTTTTCTTTTTTATAAAGTAATTTAGCGAAAGCAAGGTTTGATTTGATTATTTAAGAATTTTTTAATAACAGTTTAGAAAGATTAAATTATAAACAAAATTATAGGATGACCTCAGTTTTTACTTGATCATATATTATATTATTAATATTTCCCATTGCAAACACTTAAAAGAGTTATCCTTTAAAACAATTATTAATTGTTATTAATTTTCCAATAATTTTTTTTGATTGCTTTCAGCAAAAGCATATAAGCATATTATACAATACAATGAACTATAATTAATTGATGCCTTCAAATCCTCATTTCTCTCAAATAGATTCAGCATCTTAAGTAACGAATAAAGCTTATTTCGGTCTAAAAATTTAAATTTCTAGTCATCCTATTGACTCTATTCATTCATATAAAAATGAAAAATCAAGTTACTTGATTTGGGATACCTGAAATTCTCTTAAACTAATGCTTGAATCTTAACATCGTTTTACCCTTATATTTCTTAGGATAAATTATTATTTTTTTGTAATTTTATTAATGATTAATTATAAAATTAAATAGTGATGAATATTACCAATGTCAATTTCTTTCACTCCATTTTTATCCTTAAGAAAATAAATGGCAATTTTAACAGTTATATTTCACTAAATTAATCTGAAATCTGTTTGAAAATATTGTCTGATTAATTTTATATAGATTGTATAAAGGCCAGAGAGATCAAGCCTTGTTCTCAATAAGGGGTAAAACATATCCTTATCTAAGCCAAACTCCAGACCATTAGTCATCAATTCACTATACCTCCTTTAATAAAAAAGGGATACTTACGATTAAAATTTTTGAAAGTAATTTCTTAACGAGAGAATGCTTCTTAGAAGATTGTTAAAATGTTCTGAGTATAAAATCTGAAATACTCATTAATTAATTATACAAATATTCAATATTTAAATATAGCTCGTTGCCATAGGGATCAATATTACATTAGAAATGGAAAGCCTTTCGTATTCTAGTATTCTAGAAAACTTAATTTGAATATTGATCACCATAATGAATCTAAATGATACCTAGATTAGGTTAATTTTTCATGTTTTAGTAATTCTGTATGAATGATAATTATTCTTTAAATTTTTTATGATAACATAATTTTGATATTAATTATTGTATAACTATAATTGTATATTTGTTATTAATTAATAAACTTCAACCTATATTTGAGAGTAGATATCCATTTCTTTTGTTGACGATAAAAAGTCAGATTAATGTTAACACATCAAACTTCATAATTCATCTATTAAAGTAAAGATTTATTTGATTTTGTATTGCTTTTAGCTAAAAATAAATATATTTCTCAATGAAAATAAAATCCAGATTAGACATTACACTACCATTTTGGAACCAAATTAATAGTTTGTCAAACGGGTTAATCTAAAATTGGTAGTAAAGATTATGAATTAAAATAAATTTACATAATAATATTTTAATATTTAATTATAAATTCAATTACTATTTATTCTTTACTTTATGTAAATAAAATCCTATAAAGAAGTTTTACAAATATCCCTCCTCTTATTTTCTTAGGTATTTTTTATTTTATAAATCTTCAATTTTTATTCGCTATTACGTTAAAAAATGTAAAAGAATAACATTTCCTATGGCATCTTTTGCTTTTTATGCGACGATGAAATTTATTTGTTAATGTAAAAAAACTTATTTGCAAATAGATTATCAATTTGTTTCAGTAATATTTGAAACCACCACAATAGAGCTCTCTCTCAAACAAGAAATTCCTTAATTTTTGAATTTTATAGATATGCTATATCCATGATAATTGATATTTGAAATGAATAACAAAATAAATCAAAATTTTTATTTACAAGATGTCATGAAATGATTCTTGATGAAAGATTGTGATCATAACTCTCTTATTTAATTCAAAAAAAAGAAAGTATGTTTAAATTATAAAAATAATAATATTATTATTGCAATTAAAAAATCAATGTTGTGCATTAACAAACAATAATTTCATCTACAAGTATTATAAAATAAATAGGTATAATTTTCTTTATTGTAATACAAGTAACTCTGTTAATAGCGAATATCTACTTTATTATTAGATAACCAGATAATCCTTATAGAATTAGTTACAAAAAGATGATAATGTGTGAAGCAATAATTTATTAATTTAAAATATCATATTAGTTAAATGATATGAATGAAAAGATAATATGTTCTTGGTGGATTTTTTGCTTTAGACATTATAGCACATTTATTTTCCTTTTCAATATCAATTCGGGTATAATTATATTTAATATCTCATTATTATTAGCATGAAACATTACAATATGATTATTCATTTCAAAGCACTTTTTGATTCACCTTTATGGATTATATATTTATTATAATTAAATCCCTCATCTAACTCAATTCATGGTTCAATTTTCAAACCATACTTTTTTCATCATTTTGTCCACCAACACTTAATTTTTAATTTAAATAAATATTTCAAATTTTTCTTTAACCTTTTCTTCATCTAAATCTCCCAATTACCACTTTTTCCCATATTTATAAACACCCTTAACAATAACTTATGAATCCCCTCTAAAATCTATTACTTAATTCTCCCAATATCAGTTTTTCCATTTTTATATTTACCTATACAAATTACTTAATGATCCCCACACTCCTAGCTTCATGCTATCATCAACTTCATCATAAGATCCTTCACCGCTAACAATTCGCTGCAATTTTTTCATTTTATAATTCCATCATTCCTTTTATACCAAATATCCCATATAACTAATTTTACTGGTTTTGATATTTAGAAATATAAGTAATTTATGATTCCCTTTCAAATCCATCACCTATATCAATCAATTCTTCAATTGTAATATCATAATGTTCATCATATGATCCTTCACAATATACTTTCTATATAGATTACTCCATGATTTCTAATTGATAATTAATATCTCATCTGCCTTTTTTTACTCACTTTTCTATACACCATTATATGTTATTTTGAACAATCTTTAACCCCTCAATTATTTCAATCCCATTGACATTTTCTTTATCATACTATTCACCACGCCTAAAACTTGTTATAAATAATTTTTGAAGGCCGAAGCACTGTACTGTGCTTTCATACCTTTCCATCAAGTATAAAATCAGATACTCCAAATAAAGAATTTATTATACTTGCATGAAACATCTCTTCAATTAAACCAAATACTTTTAATAACAGGGGCACATATATTGTGTTAATGGAAGCAAGGAAGGAATTACTAACTCTCCTTCCTATACATTTCATAGTAGAATTAAGAAGTCCTAACTCGAATAGAAGAAAAAGAAGATACATAAGCAATTTGTTTTCAAAAAAGATATCTAATTACTCCCAAAGGTTCGTGAATTATTCGAATGTTTGCTAATCCAAGTAACAGGTTAGAACTAGAAGTTTTTATACTAAATATTTACTCCTCTTTAGAATAGTATGATAAAAAATCAAAAAAAGCACTAGAAAACTTTAACTATAACTTATGACAACAAAGCGATATATATATAATGTTGGTAAATTAAAATTTGTCAGCCAATTTAAATCTTTATAAGACATGCTATTCTGATTACCATATTTTGTTGGCAAAAATCTGACTACAGAAGTCGCATTTATCAGCTAAATAATATCAGTTCTACCCAGTTAAATAAAATATCTATCTTTTAAACTCTCTAATAAATTAAAATAAATCGCTTAAATAGTTTACTTAGAGATATAATAGAAAATTAACCAAATTCAATATTCTTAAAGTAGAGCATAAACACTAACTAAATGTATTAATTAAATTTATAGCCAAGCAATAAATAGCATTCTACGTAGAACTGAAAAGTAATTAAGAAATAATTAATTAGAAAAAGCCTTCAAATTAATCAATATATTAATTATGAACCCTACAAAGAGAGGTAGTAGTATCGTGAATTGTTTCATAGATGGTGATTCACTTATAAGCTGTAAGAAATAAATTCTTTTGAATTGCCTAAAATAGCTTGCCATATTTAAAGAGATATAAACATATTCTCTACTACAACTTCCTAAAATAATTCAATATCGCTTGGAGAACTTTAATTTACGAAATAAAGAATGTCATATTACTGATTTAGTATTTAATTTCGGAAAAAATCATTTGGTTCCCTTTAATAAAGCATATCCAAACATTCCAGAAAAAGACTAATTCAGACCTATAAGTGTAAAGTCCAATGAAAAATGGCTAGAGATTAGATTCCCACATAATATTTGGTGAAGAATGTACCTTTAAAGAATAATTTGGTTTCATTAGAGATGATGGAATCCAACCATAATTACTCAAACTAATTACTGATATACAAAGGTTGAGAAAAAAGATCAAAGAGTAGTTGTATTTATTAATTTTTGATCGGCCTACAACTGCCATATTATTTAACCTATTAAATGTGATGCTTGGCTTAGACAAGGAGGAAACAATTTTCATTTAAAATTTAATGAGTCGGTAGTATTTATTATAAGATAAAAAAAAATCTATTTAAAAAATGGGGTGCCATACGGAAGAATACTTTCATAAGCAAAAGTATCCAATTTTATTCGTTTGTAAGGTTTTTTACAAAGCAAATTTAAATTTTTCAGTTAAAATTGGAAGGACTCACCTAAAGTTTGAAATAAGATATTTTTAAATATATTATGTTATTGATACTCAATACAAAATTTTTGACAACTTAATATATTCGAAGGGTCTTAAAGGAAATTTTCAACGATTAACAATTTGTAATATTTCAAATCTTGAATTTATTCAACATCATTAAATTGAAAAATAAAGCACGTTAATTTGTATATTTTATTTGCTGTTGTCTTAATTATACTATATTACAAAGAAACCTCTATAAATTGTACAAATTGCTAGTGCATTTCAATTTTGAGCATACCTAAGAAATCCATTTTTAGGAAAAATTTATCCAGATTCATAAGTTGATAATTAGTCAACTATAAATGAAATTTTATCAAATAACTGAATTATTCCAGCTATTCTTTGAACATCTTGCTCCTATATTTTAGTTACTCTACTGAAAACATGACGCTATGATTCAATAAAAGATGAGCTGAATCATTAAATTTCAAATTTAATCATAAAATTACTTGATTTTAGAAAATGCAATATATTAATTTTACAAAATAAAGTCATTGAAATACTTAAGACTTCAAATATTCGAATTAGACAAAAATAGTTTAATAAACCAACCATAATGACCCTCCAAAAGAAATTCACGATAAAAGGGAATTTTCATTATTTATTTACTATTTTTAAACATTCATCTGAATATTTAAAAAATATAATACCTCTTTTGTTTTTAATCCATAATTGATTTGGATTTATCGTTAAAGCGTTTTCATAAAATTATGGCTTCTTAAAATTAATTCTGTTATTGGAATAAATCCTAAACATATTCTTTGTTTTAAACAAAAACCTATCAATACCTAAATACATTAACCTTTTACCCATTATGAATCAAAATGATTTGGATCGATTGATAAAGATTTCTCAAACTCCTATATAACTTCTTTAAACATTTTCAAACATGTTAAACTCTAAAATTTAAGTAAAATATCTCAATGAGTTACCTTCAAATCAAACACACTTCATACATTTAGATTATAATGAATTACAATGCTGTGGATTAATTTCCAAAGCTTTATCTGCCTAAATGATTGCTTCATTATATTTACTAAGCATCCTTACAGCATATCAAATATATTTCTGTAATTTAAAATACTTTGGATCAACTTCCAAGGTTTATCTGCCAAAATGATTGCCACTTTATATTAACCAAGCAATCTTAAACTCTCAGCTAAAAAATTAATAAGAATTATATCTTTGCAACCTAATGATGGGTTGAATTAAAATTAAGGCTTATTCAAATTATTTAATCGCCTCTTCATATTTCTTATCATTCAAATATGTAATTGAATTTCATCCTAAAATATTGATTAATAGCCTAATCAAATTGATTAATTCCTTTTTCATATAATTCTTGTGACTTCTGAATATTTGAATCAAATATTGAATAATAGTTTAACCCAGATTTATTTTGATCTACAATAATATTTTATAAAATTGATTAAATGAAGTATAATTGTAAATCAGATGTAAACTTTTGCATTTAACTTTAGAATTTCTTAATCGATTATTATATTTGAGCTTCAATTGTTTTTAAAATGATTTGAATTGAATAGCTCCTGCAAAAAAGGAATTCATCTATTTTGAATCAAAATATTGAAATTATTATTTAATTTTCAAATATTTAGATCTAATTCCATCAATAAATACATAAAATTATTGATAAACTAAAATCCATTTATTTATTTAAACTAGTAATGCAATTATCACATTTTTTATAAATTTTTTCAATAAATTCCAATAAAATTGGTAATTCTTATTAATTTAAGGATGAGAAACATGAATTCTATCTCTCATACATTAAATACAATATAATCTATTTACTGAAAAGGACTCATTAAAAAATAGCAATTTGACATCATTGGCATGTTCTGAATTTGGACATTTAATGGTTATTGGATTGATTTATTGCATAATTAATATAAATATTAAATATTTTTCTACTTCTATTAAAATTTTAAATAACTTCATGATTATTAAATTCTATTATCAGGTATTTAATATTATTAATCAACCAATCGTAAAATTATTTTTCATCATATTTTCACATATATATTTTGTATTGGAAAACTATTTAAATATCATGATTTGTTTTAATTTGATTTCACGCACAAAATTGACTGTAGTCAAGTAATTCAAGCGGCCTCGGTTATTATTATATTTTTCAAATTTATCTAGATATTTTCACTGGCTCTAATTTTAAAGGCGATCCTTAAAGGATATATTTTTTAAATTTTATATGGTAACTTCTTTTAGTTGATATTTATATTGATGACTTTGTTACTAAGGTTGTTCGTAATTGTTATGGCAGTATACTTTATTGACCAAGTGAAATACTATTAGTATTTAAATGAGGAACCAGATCAAGAACTTTTAAATTTTTTCAAATCAAAGTAGTTGCATCTTAAAATAAATTAACCAAATTTAATTATTTATCACACAGTCTTAGTAATATATAATTGGGGGAGTAACTAAGAATCTAAATTATACTTTCCAAAAATGAAGTGCAATAATATCAAAAATTATATTTAATTAATTTTTGTCACTCTCTATTTTGAAATTTCTAAATGCTGAAATCCTTGATTTGATGATGGCTAAAACGAAAACTCAGACTAATGTGATATTCTTCAAATTCATTAATCTAACAAAATGATTGATAAAATCCATTGGTATAGCTTTGATCACAATTTAATTTAGTT